TATGATGATGATGATCCCACCGCTTACCCCTACAAAGGTTTGACCTGGACGATTTATCATTAAGATTATTTTAGATTGTACCCTCAACTCCACTTTTACCAATTGACGACCATCACGCACCATTTATCTAGCTTCTTGACGAAAGTTATAATGGTACAATCACAACAGACAATGGGGACGTGAGATTCAACTTGAATTTTCAGTCGTCTGATTTTGGTCGTTTGGATGACGCGCTCTCAAACATCGTATTCGATCCTCTACTGCGACAGAAAACATTGGATGAGTCTGTATCAGCTTTCTATGATAAGCTTTACGCAGTGCTTAGGGACCACGTACCACAAAAAAGACAACAATTTTCTTCAGTCTATTACAAGCCATGGTGGACCTCTGAACTACGTCATCTCCGAAACGTGTTTGGGAAAGCACGCAATCGTTTCTTTCTGATTAAGTCCGCTAGTGAGCGGAACAACCTTCGGGAGGTGGAAATCACGTACACCGGACTTCTCTTATCCACGTACGAAAGTTACATGGATAAGATTCAATCAGATGTCAAGCAATCCTTCATATTTCTAGAATTTTGTGAGAAACCAAAAATCGCATTCCAACAAACGTAAAATACTACGATACCACCGCTAGCTCTAATTCGGAAGCGGTATGCCTTTTCGCCAAGTTCTTCGAGAGCGTATTTAGCAAACCATCACCTGTTCCTCGATTCAACCGCTTCACACGACATAGTTTTTCGTCATCGAAGTACTGAAAGCCATCGAAGAACTCGACGTTGATAAAGACCCTGGATGCTGCTAAAGGATTGGTCCACCGCATTTGCTTCTACCATAACATCTTTGCTGCCAACCGTTTGCTGCATGACCGGATGTTCCAAGTATCTTGGAAATCAGCTTCTATTATTCCGATCTACAAATCCGGCAACTGCAATAGAGTCATGAACTATCGTGGTGTTTCTGTCTTGTGTTGCTTGAGCAAAATTTTCGAAAAAATTGTGCATAACGTTCTATATAACGCCGTATCTTCATTAATCTCCGACAGGCAACATGGTTTCATGAAACACTGTAACCGTGTGGTCACAAGTTCATAGGGTTTTGTCGTTTATGTTGTATATTCAGAACCATCACGTTTCTTGTGCAAGAACAGCAGTATACCACAAAAGTGATAGGGTTCTGTACCGTTGTGAAAATTTTGTGCCGTTACGTTATGCCCACCATAGAAACCTAGCAGAGACCAAAATACAACATGGCTAAACTAGGATGACAGGATGAGGGAAATTTGTAAAAAGAGCGGCCATTGCCCAAAACTGGTCTCTTTTAATATCAGGCGTCCGTGTGCAGTGGTAAAACCAGCAGCAGTTAGTGTACGCTATGGAGATTTAACGTTCAGGACCGCTTTTATGTTAGACCTTAAAAAGGTCATCCGTCAGCACACAGTCGGCTCGCGAAATTGTGGAAACAGTTTCCGAGCCCAATTGTCAAGGACCAAATACCATTCTCTGGCCAAACGAAGGCCATAATCGTCAAGGAGTTTTCCCTTCTCGGCTTGACCAAGGTGGCCTTGCCACGTGCCAACGAAGGAAGACGCCTGCCATCCCACCGTCCAGCTACGCTTGCTGGCCCGTCATCCGCTCGCTTCGCCAATCCAGCGAGATTTCCGGCCGCACAGTAGGACAGGAGTCGCTGTGTCGGCCATTCCGATTCACCATCAACGGCAGCAGCGGTATGTACTGGTACAAGTGAACGAGGTTAGGCTACACGACACACATTACACGAAATTATTATCACAGAACAACACGTACACGATACAGAAAGTTACAAATAATTACAGTTAAATAAAAGTGAAAGTTCTTCGTTTTTGTATCGCGGAAACCCTCTGATTGCCCAGTAGCTAGCCGACCCTAGGTGTTTCGGAGCTTGCTCTTGTCGCCTGAGTTCTTACATCCAGTAATAACACTCTGTCTCGCGAAGTCGAGCATGGACGGCAAATTGATTCGATTTATATCGATTTCGCTAAGGCCTTCAACACTGTACCACATATCTTGGTCATTGACAAAATGATGCACATGGGGTTTCCGGAATGGATCACGCAGTGGCTGTTTACCTGTCGGACAGAACTGGTTGTGTTGTAGTGAATGCGGCACAATCCCAACCGTTCAACATCACGTCCGGTGTACCTCAAGGAAGCGTTCTCGGGCCGCTGTTGTTCAATATCTTCATGAACGACTTGTGTATAATGCTCTCTTCTTTTAAACTTTCGTTTGCCAACGACTTGAAGATTTATCGTGTCATCACTTCTTCAGAAGACTGCATGGCATTGCACGAGGACATACCCAACAAACAATTTTAGCTGCAGCTTAGCTTATACAGGCAAAAATTAGCTGCATAAGGCAAATTTTGGCTGTATAAGCTAATCTGCAGCTAAAATTGTTTGTTGGGTAAACGGTGTGCTCGTTTGGTCTAGCGATTATCCAGCAATTTAGTATGAAATCCGTTATACTTTAGCCAGTTCTATCGATTTACTATCTGGGTGTAACTATTGACTCAAAATTTAAGTGTAACGAACATGTAGCCAAACGCACTACTGAACGAAACACATCATTTTTATACTAAAACCTAGGTAGGAATCCATACTATACCTACATATAAATGAAAACAAACAAGATGTACCTAATATTACTGTGTTATTATCAGGTGAAGAGTTTGTGTTTTTGGTTGCAAACTGGGACTGTTTACCCTCTGATTTGAATGTACAATTTTAGGAATTACTCTACGATTTTTATTTCAAATAATGGAAGCTAATGTAAACGAAATACCTTGAAAGAAGTTTGACAAAATGTTTTTTAACAACTCCAGAATACACCCTGATGATATTTTCAAATTTACTTTTAGATGCATTTGATCAAAAGTTATGACTAGAACTATTCCACAGCCGCAGACAGTACATGAGCAAGTCAAAAGCGAACTTTTTTGCCTGTAGATTTGAAGAAATACTCCAAATCTCCTCGTACATTGTACTTAGTAAGGTAAAGAAGTGTGCGTTTGACGAGTACTGTCGCATTAATGGCTCTTCGCTCATTTTCAACTTCTATTCAATTTTCATACTTCCGTATTCTAGCGGAACTATCAAGATGTTGTGTTTGTTTATTTGTCCTCAATCAGTGCAGTTACCTTACACCGAAGACATCATATCAAGAAGACTGACAACTTTGCCAGAATCCAAGCGACCCATACAATAGCGCTGCGCTTGAGTGAAGGTGCAAATACGCATAGAAAAATTAGCAAATACACAAACCTTTCTTCGGAGGATGTTATCTTTGCTATCAAATTCGTGCGAAGCATTTACATTTGAGCGGCAGATGACGCGATTGTACCTGTCTCATAGCGCTCGTATGAGAAAATGGTTGAGTTGCCAGTCTTCTTGATTTGTTGTCTTCGCTTACATGCTATTTTAAAACATACGTTTTATTTGAAATTGTTAATCAACGTAGACTACATATACAAATATCTAAGAAATAAAAATTGTTTTAAACTTAACGAGATGAAAGCCTAGCAGTTAGTGTTCTCCTTACCGTATCTTTAGACATAGTTAGATCTATACGCTCGAAATAATTATTATACATTCTCATCATTCTATTGATTGGTTCATTTTTAACATCATTCGTTCTGTGAGGTAACAGTTGAAATACATTTCGAGTTCTTAACATGCGTGATGGTACGTAAAAATTTATGATTGCTAATGTTTTTTTTCTGAATTTACGTGTTGTGAGATAATATCATTAACAAAGGAAATCATGGACATTTCTCTTCGTTTCTTAAGTGTTTCAATGTTAATCAACATGCAACGGGACTCATAATAAGGAAGGGGAAAACAGGTCCAGCCTAGTTTCCTAAGAGCAAATAACAAAATTGTTTTTGAACTGATTCTATACGATTTATATAAGTTTCATGGTATGGAGCCCAAACCATACTGCAATATTCGAGAATTGATCTCACGTAAGCTATATAAAATGTTTTGATAGTATATGGGTCTTTACAATGATAACTAAATCTTTTTATAAATCCCAACATATTATTTGCTTTGAGAATTATGGTATTCATATGATCTACAAATGTCACCTTCGAGTCAATAATTACTCCTAAGTCCCTAATTTTATCGCACCTTACAACCAGCTGGTTTCCTAGCGTACATGCAAAATCTAGAGTAGTGTGTTTTCTGGAATAAGATATAATATTGCATTTTTTAACATTAATATCCAGAGACTTTTAACGCACAAATTGTAGAAAACATCAATTTCATTTTGAAAATGTAGCAGAATTGTTAAAGATTTCCATGTTCAGTTTCGTATCGTCAGCATATATGAGCACATTTAAACGATTTAACACAAAATCCACGTCATCCACAAATAAAATAAATAATAAAGCACCTTAATGAGATCCCTGTGGAACTCCCAAGGTAACATTAACTGGCGAGGACTTTTTTCCTTTAAAGCGAACCATCTGTGTTCTTTCTGTCAAGTATGATCCAATCCATTTTAAAAGTGTACTTGTCTACTTACCCTCTTCAGACCATTCTCTAGCTAATAAATTATCTCACTAAAAGCTTCATGTTAGATAGAATTTCCAACCAACTCTGAAATATGATCGGTTAAATGTGTTTTAGCCGGCTGTGTCGACACAACTGTGGTGCTTTTGCATTCGCAATATTTACAAAAATAGTACCCAAAACGCCGCTGTCATGTAAATCCCCAAACGATTAAAAAAGGATCACTCCAGACGGTGATCCACCGCACGCCACAGCCGAAGCAACAACAAACATCTGCTGAACCAGATCTATTGTATGCAAATGAGCTGGCACTTTCTTTCCGGTGATTTACCCAGCAGCGCGGTAGCGTGCTCATCGCAATTGGTTTTTATATAAATTCGTCGATCGCTGTCGAAAATGGCATCAGTCATCTTCTCAAGCTCGTTCTACGATCAGTTATCCTTTTTCTCCGTTTTCAAAAGACTACCACAGTATAACCATGCAGTCTCTCAGCGTAATTTGTAGCGTCGCCATTTGTGTCGTGGCTCTCGCCACCACCGGTGGCCAAGCGTATCCTCAAGGATTGCAACTGGCCGACGAGCAGGTTCGCTCGTATGCCAATACTCTATGTAAGTTGTAACGATTGCAAGAAATACCGCTATTCTATGTCAAAATTGTCATTTCCAGTTGATGAACTTCCGGAAGAGTCCTACCAAGCTGCCGGGGCAAACCTCCGACTGAAACGTGCCACCTGTGATCTGCTGAGCGGATTCGGTGTTCAGGACAGTGCCTGTGCCGCTCACTGTATTGCCCGTGGCAACCGTGGAGGCTACTGCAGCTCGAAGAAGGTTTGCATTTGCAGAAAGTAAACGCTCTTTTCCGGATTTTCGTGACCATTGTTTTGGATTCCTTCTCAATAATATGTTCCTACTAAAATTAGATATAAAGTCAACTCTTCACAACTCGATATTGAGTCATAGAACCATAGTAAAAATTAATTTCATGGTTACTGTGATGGTGATTTCCTGTTGGAATGCTGCTCTATAACTCGATTGTCCCTTCAATATCTAGTGGTAGAGAGTTCACTTTAGTACTTTCATTAATAAATGAAGTTTTATACGAAAAACAGTCGTTTTAATTAATTAAGGATTTTCGATTGTAACATTGCAATACAAAGAGTGTTTGGAACGGAAACGACGAGGCTATCAGTAGGCAAGCCATTGCACTGCAATAAAACCAGAACATTGCCATCGCTGCGACACTGATAAGATCAAATGGATAATACTCCGCGGTGATTTTTCTTCGTTTTCTTCGAAGGAACGTTTTTTTAGTATAAAAGTAGCTACTTCCAATTTAGCAGACATCAGTTCCACCAACCACTTTCTTCAGAAAACAGTACAGTTTCTAAACGAACTACAAACTCCTACCACAATGCAGTCCACTACCGTTGTTTGTCTTGCTTTGCTCTGTCTAGCTGCTTGCATTTCAACTGGAAGTGCTCTTCCACAGGACGATAGTGCCTCAATTGGTGATGCGTTCGGTTTGAATATGGGTAAGTTTCGATTTGTGCGGCAGAAATTAGGAGCTAAAAATCAATATCGGATGTTTTTTTTTCAGAAGACCACGATGCCTTGGATCTTCCAAAGGACAAGCTTCCCCAAACACGTGGACGCTGTACAAACATTGGCCGATGCGTTCACGACCGTCTCTGCGATGCTAATTGCCAAAACTGGGGATACAAAGATGGATCGTGCAGTGGAAACTCTTGCATATGCTGCTCTTAGTTAGTGAAATTTCAGCACAGAGTTAATCTCGATATTGAAAGCTGGCAATTATATGCTTCTTAAACAAATTTGGTGAATTCAATAAAATGTCTCCCGATAAATCTTAAACAGTTTCGTTTTCATTTTTTTTATATTACACCACTGCGACCAGTAATTTGATCTATTGTATTATATCCCGTGTCCTTAGTTTAGTGCATGTCGTATTACTCCATCACTATTGAAAAATGATGAAGTATTCGGTTTTCATACAGTTGTCATTCTTGCCTTCATCGCAAGGAATCGATTCTATTTATACCCTTCGGATATAATCGACGCTATTTATACCCTTCGGAGTGTTGAAACACCCTCCAAAGGCGCGCCCCTTTGTCAGTCAAAACTGGATTCCTTAGCAACAAAAACAAACAAAGGAACCGATAATGACCATGCATCAGAACCCTAGTCTTAACTGCTTCAAACTAGGGAACAACGAATAGAATATTAAGCGCCCATTACACATGTCAATGTATTGACAAACATCGAATTGTCAATTTTCCTTACAATATTATCAATACATAAATATTGACAACATGAATGACAAGCGCTCGTTACACGGATCAATATATTGACAATAAATTGACATACTGACAAATTTATTGAAAAGGTAATATTAATGACGATGGGTTGATGACGAGTATTGTTGAAAAACTGATTTTCATTTCACTTCGTCAATATTCTTCCCCTATCCAAGAGGAGGGAGAACGTACGTCATTTAGACCGACTGACTCACAAAACACCTTCGCGCATGCAGTGTTGCCATTTTCTTTGAATTTTCGTGTGTGATATAAAATCGATTTCAAACTGAATAAAAGATGTATCTATTAACAGTAACCAATTCGTTTATATCGATGTACATTTTCTACGAAATCAAAAGCAAAATCATTTTATTTTTTAACCTTAAAATAAAATAAATACTGTCAGCGTTTCACATATCAACACGTATCGAAAATTTATAGTTATATGCATGATTTTCATACATGAATGTTTACCGAAACATCAGCATAATAGTTTATATTTGGGAAACTACATACCGTGAGCTTCGGTTATTCCACAGGAGTGGTAATTCCGCGCAATTGACAATCGATTTGATTAAATTCGATCATTTTGTAAGCATATGTATCTGCATGTGTTATCATGTTGTCCTGTGTATTTTATATGTCCTGTCAAAAAGTTACAATATTAGATATACCAATTTGGTATTTGAATGACAAGTTCACGGAATTATAGCTCACGCGGAATAACCCACGTTCACGTGACCATTAATCCAGTTTATATATCTTTTATCATTCCTTTACATTTATATGAGAACTTAAGAATAGACCTAAAATTTGTGGATCATTGTTTAACGCTTTATTCTAAAAATCATGAAAATTAATTTAAAGTGTGTAAGTATGAGTAAAGGTTGGCTGAAACTTGGTTTCCTATAGTACACACTAAACCAGGACTCTGCTATTTGGTACTTTTTAAAGTACGGAATAGTTCTAAAAATTTAAAAATCAATGGAAAATATGGAAATTTATTCCGAAGATATTAAATGAAGTTATCCCCATTTAATGATAAAAATAAAATTTGGCGATTTTATTGATTTGTTCCGAGTAACGGCCTCATAGCCTAATCAGTAAAGGTATGGTATTATAAAGCTGGAGGTGGCGGGTTCGATTCCCGGTCCGGTTGAACGAATCTTTCGGGTTGGAAATTTTCTCGACTACCCTGGGCATATAGTATCATTGTGCTTGCCACACAATAAACACAATTCATGCATTGGTATTGGCATCGAAAGCTCTCAATTACTAACTGTGGAAGTGCACTAAGTTGAGAGTACGCACTAGGAGCACGCAATAACCTTAAACTCCAACGCAGGCAACGGCTGTAATTAAATAATTCCATTAACTACTACTGTCATTACATTAATAACACAATGTAAAACATCAACTACTTTTTAACTCCATTCATTACAGATGAAATTTCGTAAGTAAAGTACATTAATTACATTTTCAATACTTTTTTACATTAATTACGGACAGATAGTTTTAATTACCGTCGGTACTACTTCAAAACGAATTAATTACTTTAAGTACTTTTGATTGCATTTTAACTTCAACGCACCGGTTCTTTGTATTGCGTGCCCCTCGAGCAACGAGGTTTCTGTTTGGACCAGAGTGCAAACATTAATGCTAACATTTTCTTTCGCTGATCCATGCTTCTTGTGTGAGGAAAGTAATATTGACTTTAAATTGAGGTAAAAAGGCTTCTAAAGTATTGCTATGCTTGCTGTCAATATTCCAATATTAATGATATTGATTGCGAAATTGACGGTATTTCGTCAATATTTTCTGAGTATTGACAAAGTGAAGTGAAAATCAGCGTTTCGTCAATACTTGTCATCAATCATCGTCATCAATTTCTCCTTTTCAATAATATTGTCAGTATGTCAATGTATTGTCAATATATTGATAAGTGTAATGGGTGCTTTAGGAATCACATAGATCAATACTCATGTTTGCCATGTTTCACGATCATTCTCGGTGGACAAAGCCGAGTCTTGTCACTATCAACAAGGTTTAAAAAGTAACAAGGACTAAGATGTGTTCCTTGGATTACTGAAAAATCCTGTTCCCCTAGTTTGAAGTAGTCAGGACTAGGAATCGGTGGTAGATCTTACATCCCCTAGCGTACCACGAAAAGGTGATCTACCCACGTTACGGGGCAAGTTCGTTTTTCATTAGAATCAAATCAGTAGAAATTAAATGCATTGCACAGTGGGAAAGGAATGTAATCTAGTGGGACAAAATGAATATCATTGAAACGAAGGATTTCCGTTATATGGTGTTTTCGACGAAGTTCCTCATTACAATGAGAATTCCTTTTTAACTGATAGTTAGATGTATTGCTCATATAGGGTTAAGTTTCGCAGGAGCTTAGTTTACTTAAAAATGCTCATGAAAATTACACATGGAAATGTGAAAGGCTTAAAAAGGAGGACATTTTATGGCAAATAGAGGACTTGCAAAAAATGCTGAAAAAGGAAAACATGTACATGTATGGTAACTCTAGTTAGGGCCTGTTCATAAGCTACGTAGACAGTTTTTTGGGATTCTCGACCCCCCCCCCTCCCCCTGTGTAGACAATTATCCATACAAAATTTTTAAAATTTGTATGGGCCGTGGATAATTGTCAACCCCCCCCCCCCCCTCCCTAAACTGTCTACGTAGTTTATGGACAGCCCCTTACAATAGAAACTTTCCAATACTGTCAATAGATATTAGTGACGTTTGAGGCACGCACACTAGCAAGCACAAACGAAGTGACAGACGACTAACTGGCGAAGAAATCAATTAAAATATTGTGGTTTGCTGTAATAGAATTTTCTTAGAAGCTTGTGCCATCATCCACCAGATGGGATAGTATTTTTGTTTTGGTTTTGCACAAAGTTGATTTTGTGTACAATGATTCTTTGACAGTGTGCAAAGAGTGTATATCATTTTGTCATTTTTTTATGCATTCCAGTTTTGAGTAGAGTGAAAGAGATAGAACCAAAACATTCTAGTACATTTGGTGAAAATGCTAGTTCAATCCAGTAGTAGTGTTGCCATGTGGTACAATCCAGTGGTAGTGGTGTTGCCATGTGGTACACTGAAAAATTGCAATAGCAGGTTAGTCACCAAAGTTTTCGAGCCGCTCCGTCTGTCACTTCGTTTGTGCTAGCAAGTGCATCGCCGTGTAAAGTTGTTTATTATTGTCCTTTGGGTAACCTAAAAATGTATAAAATTACATCTGTCAAAATTAGTTGGACACGATTTGTTATGTTTTACACACGTACATGAAAACATGGTATGCTGAATCCGCTGAATCCAATAGTGATTATGTACATCTACCAGTGAATCATGCAAATTTTACGTGAAAACGGAAGAAAGTTACGTATGTTTTCACGTAACTCTAACGTGATTTTTTTTTTCGAATTATATTTGGACAACAAAAAATATGAATTTGATGAAAATTTTGAAAAACATGAGAAAAATGCTCCTAAATTAACAGACATAGAATAATCTTGAGCAACATGTGAAAACGGTCTATGTGATAAATGTAAATAATGACGTTAAACGGCGATTTCGACCATCTACACCACGTGTCACTTCCTCTATCATAGCGATGTTCAACCTGTTTTGTGTCATTTCCATTTCGGAAATTGCTCACCACCATTTCCTCTCCAACATACTAGTTAGATAGTGAAATACAAGACCAATTAGACTAACACGCGTTACAATGCATAATTACATACACTGTCGTAAGAATACTAGAGTCCCTTGAATTGTAATAAATTTTACGCATTTTTTAAGGTTTATACGTTTCGATGCGCTATGTGAAAACCCTTATTAAATGTTTTAATTAAAAGTTAACGTTATAATAGCTCCCGCATGCCATCTTCGACGTCTAGTGTAGTACACTATTTTGTTTTCATTTGCATAAATCCAGATCCACACAAAAAAACATGATACGAATGACAGCAGCACTACCAAGGTTAATCCCACAATTTCACCAAGGACCAAGTCCAACCAAGACGATTCTAGCCGCAGGGAAGATTTTGATTTGCTGCCATGAGATGCGCGGGTAGATAGAAAGATGATTGATGAAGATTTTTATCCATTATATGCGTTGTACGGTCATCCCACAATTAAGGGTATTCAGAAAAAGTAATGTTTATTATGCTCCAGACCTCATATTTTCAAAGCCCTATAATTTACTGAGAAATAGAGTCATTTAGCCTCATCAAAGTGAACTCAATGGATCATTAGACCAAATTGTGAATAGTGAGAGATCAATTATTACGAACTGAATTAAGAAATTGTTTAAGAAATCTTAAACTTGATTACAAATGCGATCTAGGAGAAATAAGAAAATATGTTAACACTATCTATTCTGAAGTAAAATAAATCTCAAGAGCCTATGGTTTTTGATTTGTGACAAATAAAATTTTTCGTGATCTTAGATTTGTAAAAAAAGACACAGAACTAGAATTTTTCTTCAATCATAATCATTACCAATGCATTGGTTGATGAAGACCTGCAGCTTTTGAGTGTTCTCCGCTAATACAAACCACGTCTCGCTAGCGTATTACAACACATTTCACGTTTGAATCGTAAACGTGGACTTATCAGGTTAGATCTCCAAACATTTCGTAAACTCGCACGATGTCACCCCGATGAGTTATTTATTTTGTTTCTTAGCCAGATTGCTGGTGCATAGATCCGGGCGGTTAGACATAGAATTCACAAAATTTGCTCTTGCTGAAATGGGCCAACCAAGTAACCAAAATCCAGCTATGGTGACAACTGACCCTTCTTTTTAATTTAAATTCCAACAAAAATGCTTGAATGCTGGAATGCTGGAATAGCTACTCAATATAACCGCCAATGATTGTTTTTGAATATGATTTGTTATAGTTGTTCATCTAACCACACGATCACGAAGTCCATTGGATGGAATTCAGGACACTCGTAGACTAGCTGAAGCAAAAGTACAGAAAACGTATTTTGAATATTCATTTTATTTAAGAACCATTTTTATTTTTGTATCAAATGTCATAAACGTTTTTTTTTTTTTTTAATTTACAACCATCTAAAGATAATTTAGTAAATCACCCAACAACCCTATTTACGGCAGACACAAACTCTCTTTGCGTTACAGTATCCTCCTCTGGATCCACGAGCCAGACAATGAAGAGCACAGAATGTGGTCGTTCCATTGATGACGTCACAGCTTATACGAAGTTGCGGACCAACTTCTTCATCCGGAAGCTCGACGGATGCCTGTCCATCTACTTCTGCTTCTTCTTCAATATTCACTGGAAGTTTTTGTTTTCATAGTTGATTCAAAATAGAACGAATTTAGTGATGTAACTATACTTACTCATATTCTCAGCTTCAACGTACTCGATGGCTACATCGTCAGACAATGCTCCAACATCTTGCGGGAAGGCACTTCCAATTGAGACGATCGCACCAAGGCAAATCAGAGCCAAGCAAACGACTTTGGTTGTGGGCTGCATTTTGCTTCAGTTTGGTTTGCTGTTTGTTGCTGATTGATTTCCTTAGAAAATGTATCTAGTAGAACTGATACCCATAACTGAGAGCGTAGGGATGTTATATACTAAGAGGGAGCTTTTGTTTGTAGATAGAGCGTTTAATCACTTTGGTATCGTATCGCTTGTGAACTTCCGTACGTACTCTTATCAGTAGCAGTGCCATGCTCTGGAGGGGACCTTGTGCAGTGAAATTTAAATTGGCAGATTTCTTTGTTAATTATGATTATTTTATATCAGAGTTAAGGCTAACCTAGCCATTAGGGTGCCAATGAAATGTATGGGGGAAAACTGGTCATCAAATTTTTCAAACCGACCATGTACAAAATGTTCATTGCCTCGAAAACAAAAAACCTTATGCGAAATTTGGTCTCAATCGGACATGATTTATGGTGACGGAAAACAATTGACATGGTTTGCCTTGACTGTGACAGTTAGCTCAAATGAGTGACCAAAGCAGAATAGTCAATATCACCGTGCATTGTCGAGATTGTGCAGCACTGATGTGGGATCTTGGAAATTTTTCAAAATCCTTCATTTTGAGTGTTTTCTTAGTCTCAGATTGACGAATCTAGGTTAGTATTAGGTACCAATTACTCGTGGCGGGCTCGGGGTCTAATAGGTAACAATTTCGATTGGAAGGAACTAGGTAGGAAATAGGTTTCTGAAGCCTCCTTCAGATACTACTCTCAAACGTATGACCAAATGCTGGAAAAGGTGGATAATAAGACAGGGACACAATGGCTGGAAAATGTGTGGAAAGGAGGGGATGGTCACATCAAACTCTAACATCAGACAAACAAAGGAATTCGTAGATCGCCTGCATGTAGGGAAGATCACGGGTTCCCAATACATCTCTTACTTCACGGAAGGGTTGTCTACCTCGGGCCACTAGGGTGTCCAATAGTCGTGCTCTGGAGGCGTCATTACCTGGGCAATGCCCAACTGCGTGATCGGTGTCATCATAACCGGTTCTGCACCTACATATATTGCTGTCAACGAGGTTTATTTTGTAGAGATGTGCGTCTAGCGAGTAGTGGTTGGACACAAGTCTTGACATCACGCGAATCAATCCCCAACTTACATCCAGACCTTTGAACCACGCTCTCGAAGAAACATTTGGATTAATGGAATGTAACCACCGCCCAAGATAATTACTTGTCCAATCGTTTTGCCAACTTGGAAGAGAACTCTGACGTACTAATGGGAAAAAATCATCTTGCCTTATTGAGCGCCCACCTTTGCAAGAGAGTCTGCCTTCTCATTGCCTGCGATGGAGCAATGTGAGGGGACCCAGGTAATCCTATATGATCTTTCGACCAGCAAACTCATCTGCTCCCTTAACTTTGAAGGGAAATAAGATGAGTGCGTACCTTGTTTCATCGACCGAACACCCTCAATCGAACTGTCCGATTGAGACCAAATTTTGCATAAGGTTTTTTTTTTCGAGGCAATGAACATTTTGTATATGGTCGGTTTGAAAAATTCGATGACCAGTTTTCCCCCATACATTTCATTGGCACCCTAATGGCTAGGTTAGTCTTAACTCTGATATGAAATAATCGTAATTAACAAAGAAATCTGCCAATTTAAATTTCACTGCACAAGGTCCCCCAGAGCATGGCACTGCTGCTGATAAGAGTACGTACGGAAGTTCACAAGCGATACAATACCAAAGTGATTAAACGCTCTATCTACAAACAAAAGCTCCCTCTTAGTATATAATATCCCTACGGTCTCAGTGATGGGTATCAGTTCTACTAGATACATTTTCTAAGGAAATCAATCAGCAACAAACAACAAGCCAAACTGAAGCAAAATGCAGCCCACAACCAAAGTCGTTTGCTTGGCTCTGATTTGCCTTGGTGCGATCGTCTCAACTGGAAGTGCCTTCCCGCAAGATGTTGGAGCATTGTCTGACGATGTAGCCATCGAGTACGTTGAAGCTGAGAATATGAGTAAGTATAGTTACATCACAAAATTCGTTCTATTTTGAATCAACTATGAAAACAAAAACTTCCAGTGAGTATTGAAGAAGAAGAAGCAGAAATAGATGGACAGGTATCCGTCGAGCTTCCGGATGAAGAAGTTGGTCCGCAACTTCGTATAAGCTGTGACGTCATCAATGGAACGACCACATTCTGTGCTCTTCATTGTCTGGCTCGTGGATCCAGAGGAGGATACTGTAACGCAAAGAGAGTTTGTGTCTGCCGTAAATAGGGTTGTTGGGTGATTTAATGAATTATCTTTAGACGGTTGTAAATTAAAATACAAAAAAAAGTTTTCGTCATTTGATATAAAAATAAAAATGGTTCTAAAATAAAATGAATATTCAAAATACGTTTTCTGTACTTTTACTTCAGCTAGTCTACGAGTTCCCTAAATTCCATCCAGTGGATTTCGTGATCGTGTGGTTAGATGAACGACTATAACAAATCATATTCAAAAACAATCATTGGCGGTTATATTGAGTAGCTATTCCAGAATTCCAGCATTCAAGCATTTTTGTTGGAATTTAAATTAAAAAGCTAGATTTTGGTTAGTTGGTTGGCCAAAGATTTCAGAAAGAGCGAATTTCGCGAATTCCATGTCTAACCGCCCGGATCTATAGACTATGACACAGAGCACCAGATCAGCAATCTAGCTAAACAAAATAAATAACTCCTCGGGGTGACATCGTGCGAGTTTTCGAAATGTTTGGAGATCTAACCTGATAAGTCCACGTTTACGATTCAAACGTGAAATGTGTTGTAATACGCTAGTGAGACGTGGTTTGTATTAGCGGAGAACACTCAAAAGCTGCAGGTCTTCATCAACCAATGCATTGGTAATGATTATGATTGATGAAAAATTCTAGTTCTGTGTTTCAACGAAAAATTATATTTGTCACAAATCAAAAATCATAGGCTCTTGAGATTTATTTGACTACAGTATAGATAGTGTTAACATATTTTCTTGTTTCGAGGTTCCCAAGAATTTCCCCTAGATCGCATTTGTAATCAAGTTAAAGATTTCTTAACCAATTTCTTAATTCAGTTCGTAATAATTGATCTCTCACTATTCACAATTCGGTCTAGTGATCGATTGAGTTCACTTTGATGAGGCTAAATGACTCTATTTCTCAGTAAATTATAGGGCTTTGAAAATATGAGGTCTGGAGCATAACAAACATTGCTTTTTCTGAATACCCTTAATTGAAGGATGACTGTACAATGCATATAATGGATAAAAATCTTCATCAATCTTCTTTCTATCTACGCGCGCATCTCATGGCAGCAAATCAAAATCTTCTCTGCGGCTAGAATCGTCTTGCTTGGACTTGGTCCTTGGTAATATTGTGGGATTAACCTTGCTAGTGCTGCTGTCATGTTGTTTGTGCGGATCTGGATTTTATGCAAATGAAATCAAAACATTGTACTACACTAGACGTCGAAGATGGCTTGCGGGAGCTATTAGAACGTTTGCTTAAAGTGTTGAGGCGTAGGTTTCACGTTAACTTATAATTTAAAAAAATAATAAGGGTTTTCACAAAGCGCATCACAAACGTATAAACCTTTAAAAATGCGTAAAATTGATAACAATTCAAGGGACGCTAGTATTCTTCCGACAGTGTATGTGATTATGCATTGTAACGCGTGTTAGTCTAATTGGTCTTGTATTTCACTATCTAACTAGTATGTTGGAGAGGGAATGGTGGCGAGCAATTTTCGAAATGGAAATGAAACAAAACAGGTTGAACATCGCTATGATAGAGGAAGTGACACGTGGTGTAGATGGTCGAAATCGTCGTTTAACGTCATTATTTACATTTATCACATAGACCGTTTTCACATGTTGCTCAAGATTTTTCTATGTCTATTAATTTAGGAGCATTTTTCTCATGTTTTTTCAAAATTTTCATCAAATTCATATTTTTTGTTGTCCAAATATAACTAGAAAAAAAAAAATTCACGTTAGAGTTACGTGAAAACATACGTAGCCTTCTTCCGTTTTCACGTAATATCTGCATGATTCACTAGTGGATGTACATAATCACTATTGGATTAAGCGGATTCAGCATACCATGTTTTCATATAAAACATAACAAATCGTGTCCAACTAATTTTGACCGATGTAATTTTATACATTTTTTAGGTTACCCAAAGGACAATAATAAATAACTTTACACGGCGATGCACTTGCTAGTGTGCGTGCCTCAAACGTCACTAATCTCTATTGACAGTATTGGAAAGTTTCTATTGTAACTATTGTTTCCATACATGTACATTAGACCTGTTCATTTTAAACGAAATGTTCGGAATGTAACGGGTCAACCGTGATTACTGTTCGTCATGTTAATTTGTACTTCTGTGTAAATTTTCAGCAAAATCGGTGATGATTTTGAGGTGCTTCAAGTTAATTTTATGTTTTTAAGGTAATTTACGGCTTACAATATTTGTATCTCGAGACTGAAATAACGAAAACTGCTGTAACAACTTTCATAGCAAAGTTTAATGTGTCATGTATCAACTTTGTGACCAAAGGTTGACTATTCGAAGTGATTTTATTGAATTTTGACTTAGTTTCATGCTCGAAGATATCTTGAAATGTGAAGAATTTTAAAGTATTTGTTCTACGAATTTTCCACTTGTATGATATAAAAATGTGTAGTGTACGGCATAATGTTCCTCATATTGTTCTAGAAGTTTCATTCCAACATAGTTTTCGTGTTTATTTCATAGATTGAGAGATAAAAATCAGAAAAGAGGCCGTTTTAGCTAAAATTCACAAGACAACAGAACCAATAAAAGTCAATTAGATTGACAGAACATAGTTGCATTGCTTTTCAATGACGACCGATGACTGTTTCATTGATATATGATTTTTCATAAATATGAATCCTCAGTAGACGTGTTTTTTTATCAAAGGCAAGTGTCACTCGAACCATAACAGCAATTTATAAAATAACGAATATTTTGAATGGCTCGAGTGACACTTGCCTTTGATAAAAAAAACACGTCTACTGAGGATTCATAGTTATGGAAAAATCATATATCAATGAATCAGTCATCGGTCGTCATTGAAAAGCAATGCAGCTATGTTCTGTCAATCTAATTGACTTTTATTGGTTCTGTTGTCTTGTGAATTTTAGCTAAAACGGCCTCTTTTCTGATTTTTATCTCTCAATCTATGAAATAAACACGAAAACTATGTTGGAATGAAACTTCAAGAACAATATGAGGAACATTATGCCGTACACTACACATTTTTATATCATACGGGTGGAAAATTCGTAGAACAAATACTTTAAAATTCTTCACATTTTAAGATATCTTCGAGCATGAAACTAAGTCAAAATTCAATAAAATCACTTCGAATAGTCAACCTTTGGTCACAAAGTTGATACATGACACATTAAACTTTGCTATGAAAGTTGTTACAGCAGTTTTCGTTATTTCAGTCTCGAGATACAAATATTGTAAGCCGTAAATTACCTGAAAAACATAAAATTAACTTGAAGCACCTCAAAATCATCACCGATTTTGCTGAAAATTTACACAGAAGTACAAATTAACATGACGAACAGTAATCACGGTTGACCCGTTACATTCCGAACATTTCGTTTAAAATGAACAGGTCTAATGTACATGTTTTTCTTTTTCAGCATTTTTTGTAAGTCCTCTATTTGCCACAAAATGTCCTCCCCAGACAACCAGAATGCACGTATATTCAAAGTTGTTTTCGTGATATACAAACATATATACAAACAAACAAGTCGTATAGAATGCAAAGAAATGGCTTATACGTACAAAAGTGGAGGCCATATACGTGCATATTTTCGTTTAATTTTAAACGAGTTGATTTAACATCATATCCGATTTGATCTGTAATAACAAATCCAATTTGAAAAGTCTTACGGTGTAATCCGATTAAATTTGTGATACAGTACGACGGAAAAATGAGTCATCGCATATAAGTCGGAAATTTGCATTCTATACGATTTAACTTAAACATAATGCGAGGTATGCCATTCTAATATGCGATTTTAACTTAAACTGTAGCAATTTGCGATACTGTCTGTACATTGTTATACGACTTCTGGTTGTCTGGGTCCTTTTTAATCCTTCCACATTTCCATGTGCAATTTTCATAAAAATTTGCTTTAGAGCATTTTTAGGTAAACTAAGCTCCTGAAAAACTTAACCCTATATGAGCAATACATCTAACTATCAGTTTAAAAGGAATTCTTATTGCAATAAGGAACTTCGTCGAAAACACCATATAACGGAAATCCTTCGTTTCAATGATATTAATTTTGTCCCACTAGATTACATTCCTTTCCCACTGTGCAATGCATTTAATTTCTACTGATTTGATTCTAATGAAAACGAACTTGCACCGTAACGTGAGTAGATCACCTTTTCGTGGTACGTTACGGGATGTAAGATCTACCACCGATTCCTAGTCCTGACTACATCAAAATAGGGGAACAGGATTTTTCAGTAATCCAAGGAACACATCTTAGTCCTTGTTACTTTTATTGCCTTGTTGATAGTGACAAGACTCGGCTTTGTCCACCGAGGATGATCTTGAAACAAGGAAAACATGAGTTAGTATTCATCTATGTTTTTTTTTTTTTTTTCCTTTATTAACGAGACTTTCAGCCTTAGGCTGGTTCATCTCTAAAATTTCATCTATGTGATTCCTAATATTCTATTCGTTGTTCCCTAGTTTGAAGCGGTTAACGCTAGGGTTCTGATGCATGGTCATTATCGGTGTCATTGTTTGTTTTTGTTGCTAAGGAATCCAGTTTTGACTGACAAAGGGGGGCGCCTTTGGAGGGTGTTTCAACACTCTGAAGGGTATAAATAGCGGGACCTTTCAATTAGAATCGATTCCTTGCGATGAAGGCAAGAATGACAACTGTATGAAAATCGAATACTTCATCATTTTTCAATAGTGATGGAGTAATACGACGTGCACTAAACTAAAGACACGGGATATACTACAATAGATCAAATTCCTGGTCGCAGTGGTGTAATATAAAAAAAATGAAAACGAAACTGTTTAAGATTGATCGGGAGACATTTAATTGAATTCACCAATTTATTTAAGAAGCATATAATTGTCAGCTTTCAATATCGAGATTAACTCTGTGCGGAAATTTCACTAACTAAGAGCAGCATATGCAAGAGTTTCCACTGCACGATCCATCTTTGTATCCCCAGTTTTGGCAATTA